ATATCATTCCATCAAATAAAACGATACGAACAAGATAATTGAGTTAAAACTAGGCAATCAAACAAATTAATTAAATTAGATAAGTCCAACGCACATCATCAAAATACAATTATTTGCATAAAATCAAAAGTTGATAGAATAAACTAAGGTTTTGGAGGACCAACCTTTTATACCAACTAAAATAAGATCGATATTCTAGGTAACAACGTAATCTAGATGTGAGCTCAAATTAATGAATATAATGCATCAGTAAATTAAGAAATAATGGAAGTGCTAGACAAGTGCAATATTATGAGAGTTGAGAGTGATGGAGAGTGATAAGTTTGAATTTAACCGTTTCACTCTTAGATAAAACGCCCAGTCCTTACTTGTTCTGCGATGTTAGTCATGCTTGTCGATGTGGTTAACGATGTGCTGAAGAATCGCTTACTTCCCTGAGTATTACAGGACCTCTAATTGATGCAGTAGTCCTAACAACAGACACGATTAAGTTCGCTGACCAAATTGGCGACTTGCTAATACTTTCCTGGATGTGCCGAGTTTGACAAACTCCTATATAAAGTTGTCTTGATCCCAAAGGCGAGCTAGGTCAGGGTCATTGACATGTTCGACGACACACCAACTGGACCATTCTGTTGTCAACCTGCATTTGTAATCACTTCTCGTACTTCAACCCACACAATCAACACATATTTATTCTAGAATAGAGATAAAGAAATATTAGGTCTTGCTTTTCCTCCCAAGTAATACCTTAGTTAATGTCGTGGCACAACACAATTCTACACTCCAACTCTATTAATGGGGTTTGCCTCATTTTCAGTAGGCAACCCCTCTTTGTGATTCGACTAAAGTTCATCAACACTTGATCCATTTGGGATCCTAGAAGCTGAATGAGCATAACATAGCAGACTTTCATCTGGTTCAATATCAATACATTCCCCCTTAGCTCTTCCAGTACCAAATCCTATGTATTGGCTTTTCGGAAAAGGAGCGTGAGCATTGCTTCAGTTTGCCCATCCTCCTTATTTTTCAGTTTTCTTCGCTCGTTAGGTGGGATACAATGGTCGTTTTTATGCATTAAATATCAAGCTATCTAACCTTTTTGTTAACTCATCTAGTTGAGTTAAGAGGCCTTCTAAGCTGAAGTCCTTTTCCTTTCTTGGTTGGGATCCCTCAAGTGGTCGAGCAGTTGAGCCGTTAACAAATAAGTGTGTTGTACTAGACCACCATGAACGATTCAATAAGCCAATATTCTATTTTATGGACTAAGACTTCTGTAAAAGCATTCCAGAAGGACTATGTCAGGAATTCCAAAAGTTGGGCATTGAATCAGAATTGTTTAAAATATCAACCACGACTCATGAAGATGTTCACATTCCAAACGCCTCAAGGTTAGAATTTTATCCCAGAACATCATTACCTCAAATGGAGGAAAGTCCGTCTCTTCACCTTTCCTGTGTTGAAACAACAACGAGAAACAAACAAAACTAAAATTTAAGTTAGTTTGACTATAACTAACTAGAACAAAATTTTACTTAGCTGAAAATTGTAAAGTAACACCATACCTCGTCAGCGATGCCATTTTTTATGAACCTTTTAACTCCATAAAAAACACTTCATCTATTCTAAGCGTTGACAGTCAGTAATTAGTATATAAACCAACCAAGGGTTGGGGTCAATTCCAAAGGGAGCGCTTTTTTTGAGAATAATTCAGCCAAGTACAAATTAGCTCATGCTAGTCATATCTAAAAGAAATTATCGATTGAAAACATAAAAAATTAAAGAGGGTGACACAAGTGTGAATTATCAATTTGGGGTTTGTAGACAAGTTAGAAACTAAAATACACAAAAATAAGAGAGATACGAATAGGGAGACGGGATTCTTGAGATGTGATAGGAATATGAGCTTAAAGAAACAACTGGGTACATGCTATTACTAGTAAATTGATGCAAATTTTTGTCTAAGCTAAATTTTAGTGGGTGTAAATTCTCTCTCAAGCAACTTTCCCCAAATCGAATTATTTTCTCTCGAACATTGAGAACTCGCTATTATGCAAAACCTTCGCCTATCCCATTCACTCTCTCGAGATGAAAATGCGGGAAAGGATTTAGGATTTACTCTCTCAAGCTGAACCAATGACAACCCAATAACTACCGACTACCGATTTAGTAGATTTTAGTCTAAAGACCCCTCTCTCTCAAAAGCTGAAGATACGAAGATAAAATCATATTTGCAACTACAATTTCATTAAGTTAAAACACAACTACTGAACAAAATCACATTAAATTGCAAGATAACTATTAATTAGCAAGACCCAACAATAATTCAACTCATAGTCACGTAATGAGACCCCGAGAATTGGGGTTTTTGCTACGCATAGTAAAGAGATAGAAATAGATACCAAAAGGTGTTTCTATCAAATGGGTACGATAGAAAATGTTACACGAGCTAAGGATAAAGGTTCTTGAAGACTCACTTCCAATTTCTTGAAGTTGGGAATCTTCAAATCTTCAAGGGTTAAGAACAATGTCTCTCGAAAGCTTTTAAAACTCAAAATAGATACAAAAAATTCGATACTCAACTACAAAATATTAATGATTATTTATAGTTTTCAAAAATTTGTGCTGGGAAGGAACACTCGACGCAGTTAGTCGGGATCACCAATCAACTCGACCATCTGCCCCTTGGTATAGTTCATCGCCTTTTTGCTTTTTCCGTTAATACCTTCCCCATCTATAAATTAGGGTGATGTGGTACTATTTCGCAGAATTTCTCGACGATACGCCACCGCTCCTTTTCACCGCTGACTTGATTCTTTCCTTTAGGGCTCAACACTCAGGAACATTAACAGAAAATAAAACCATTTGGCAATTCGCCCAATGGGTTAGGCAATCTTTAGGCCTTCTTTTTTTTCATTCTTTTTAGCTGCCTTGTTCCTGTTTGCTCAAAGGTGGTCATGTTTTGTCTCCAAGTCTAAATACCTGAAACTTAAGGTATTCCATCAGTTACTGAGACAAAATATGATTTTAAGGACATTAAATCTATCAAAATATAGCCCTAAGTAAGTCAAAATCTTGAAATCATCACACCCTTTGAGCTTTCACCTTTTGTTGCAAGAAACTTGATGAAATAATAACCTTTGTTGACCCATTACCCCTAATACTTATGATTTCTGGTTTGTTTGAATAGCCAACTTCGGCCGAAAGTCCAAGTTAGGTCGTGGTGAAAAGAGAAGGTAAATCAATAATAGTAAAGAAGACCCCATTACCTATGATTTGGATAAAAATGGAACCCTTCCATACATAAAAAAAGGTATAAAAAGAAAAAAGAGAGAATGAAACAGGAAAATTAATGAAAAAGTTGTAAAATGAAAGTGCAAAGAAATAGGGTTTCCATGTCCATGAAAGATGAATAATGGGGTAACTTGTAAGCATGAGTGAAAATGATGAAGAACAGAAAGAAAAAAAAGTGTTGTCCACACCACATTTCATGAGGATAAAAGTCATTGAGCCTAAATGACTATACCATTACACTCAACCCCATAACAAGCCTTAAAAAGATCTTTTTGATCTTGAGTGAGCTAAAACAAAGGTTGAGATGAAGTACGGACAAACCTATGGGTGAAGCCACACATTGTGTTCATCATTATGAGTGTGACCGTTGCATTTGATTCCGCAACTTTAGATTTTGAACCATTGTGTGTGTATATGGAATCATCTTTTGTGTTTGGGCATTTGAACACCTTTGTTGAGCTTGAATTTTCCATGTCAAGAAAGTATATTGAGCTTGAGATTCTTTGATAGTGGTGAGTCATAACTTGAATCTTCGAGTGCAGAATTGATCCTTGCATGAGTAAGTTGAGTCTTGTTGTATGCATTCATGATTGAATTTTGTGTAGCATTGTTTGAGACATCCTTTTTGAACTATTAAATTCGAGTTTTACTTGAAGAAAAGCAAAAGCTTAAGTTGGGGGTGTTGATGAGTACATGATTTGGACTCATATATTTAGGGCATTATTTTAATAGATTTAGTGTCCTGTAACGTATATTTTGTCCCAATACATAATGTAAAACCTTGAGTTTCAGGTATTTGGATTGAGGAACAAAGCATGGACACTAATGAGCAAAAAGGAACAAGAGTGCGAAAAAAACAAAGAAAAAATGCTTGAGGATCACCTAACCCATTGGGCGAGATGTCGAATGGCCAATGTTTCGGCTAATGTTCCAGAGTGCAAAGCCTTGAAGGATGTTGACACCTGATTTTGACCCTTCTGAATATATTAATTATCATTCCTCCTCAATTTCAAATGATTATATATATATATAGGCATTTATCCCATCCATTCACCGAGAAAAACACCTGCCTTACACTAAAAGTTCACGCGCTTCTTTATTCAAAACAAAAAAACATTCTGAAATGAACCCACATATAAAAGTGGGTTGGTCTGCTCATTATTTGTGTTCGTACACTTTTTCATTATTGCTGTACAAGTAAGACCTCCACTATACTAGTTATGGAGAGGATTCATGCCGGATGGAACACGACGTTTCGAACCATAGACTACTGTTGCTGGAATGAAACGAAGCTTTGGAACATAATTATGCTTCTTGCTAGGCCCTGATAGCAGAACTGCATGTATATCTCTGTTTTTGTGTGTGTGTGTGTGTGTGTGTTGCAAGTTAGTTTAACCAGTTTTGTCGACTTTTTATAATTTCCAGATAACATATTCGCTTTGCATAATTATATATGTAGTTATAACATATCATAAATATCAAAAAATGCCTCAATGATTTTACTTTTTCAGTTAACTATTTTATTTTAGTTATAAGTTCAAGTTAATTTAGTTATAATAAAATTGATTATTTTATAATTGAATTATTTATTTTATCTAGTTAAGATTAAGAGGCTCTTTAATTAAATTTATGTAAAATCATCTTGTTTATATTGTGACCAAGTCAACGGCCGAATCAAATTTGGTTGAAATGGAAAATCATTTGGGTTACACTTAATTATCCTTCCTTAGTCATTTCTTCAAATTCATTGCAACCCATCCAAAGGACCCAAGTTTTGGTGATATCATTTCAGCCATCTCCAATTCCTCTATGACCCATTCCATTTTAATTAATTTCAGATAACCCAACTCCTTATATCTCCCCGTCCGGCCCATTTTTGCTTTCTTTTCCCTTCACGAAGAAACCCAGCATGAGTATCGCAGCGACAACAATGACCAAACGACATCCTCACAGCCTTGAATTGCAACAATATGGAGCGTCGAAATTTGTGGGAAAGCAATAGCTTTTTGCATCGTCTTCCTCACCGCTCATACAACAGTATTTGGGCGAGTTGTACAACAAAAAAGGCTGCCATTTCGTCCTAGCAGCTGCGAGGTTGTGCCACATAGAAAGGGAAGGACGTTTGAATCGATCAAAAACGTTCATTCCTCTTTCCTCTTCCGGAATGGGGTTGATAGCTTCAGAAAAGTAAGTCTCCCTATTTTGGGTGAAAGTTCTTTTAAAAAATTTGAAATTTTGGTGTTGGGATTTTCATTTTTACCCCTGTCCCCTTCCAAATTTCCCCAAGTTTATTCCAAAACGTAACCTTAAGGGTCATCTATAAAAAAAATGACTTCTTCTTTATCTAGGGGGATGATTTTTTTTTTAGGGGGGGGAGGGGAGTTAACTTATAGAAAGCTGAAAAATAGGGGAAATTTGGTATTGAAATTTCTTTCTCGAGTCTGAAAGGTTTTTTAGAGTAATAAGAAAATAATAATTTGAGTCACCTTGAGAAAACATTATCTAAGAAATATAGTAAGACTCTCAAAGGAGAGGGTGTTTTAGTCTTCGATCGAGGTGTCACATTTTCATTCCATTTGCATCGTTTTGTTCTAGTTCCGCTTGAGGTTCAAATTTGTGGTGGAAGTTTCCAGAAATTCATCGTCTCTGGTTCACTGCCCAGGAAAAGGTAAATCCATTTGTTTTTTTACTTTAACTCGTTGATCAGTCGTTTGTTTTTCTGCAAGCTAGAGTATCCTGTTGATTCTTCTATTTCTTTTTGTTTGGTTACTACCGTCCATGACTTATTGCTAATGGTTTGATGAAAGTCTGTCGGGTTTCAAGTAGAATATTTTTAGTTTATTAATGTAAGAAATGAATCCATCATACGAGTTGCCCGTCTTAAAATATCTATGGAGGCTAGGAATGAAAGGTCAGTCTGTTTGCTTTCGTTTTTCATGAGAATTCACTCGTTTGTTTGTTCACTATTGGGATTGCTCTTGGAATATTTCGAGTATCGTGATTTTAATTTGTTTAATCGAGAATATGGTTTAAGTATGTACATGTGGGATGCGTATGCTTTGAATTATTATTATTTTTTATTTTTTAGTCTGCAAAGCGTTACTTCCCAACTTACTCTCATGTGTTCATGGCTATATTTTAATTGTTTTCAAATCACTATGCTCATCTTAGGCATGTATCGCTTCTTTGTTATTTATTCTTCTCCATTTTTTCTAGTCTTGAACTCCATTGTTTTTGTTTTCATTTTCTGAAACTCATCTTGGTTGACTTTTTATACATATAAGCATGTATATAGATTCATGTCTGAGATGTTATAGTTTTCTTTGTGCTTAACAGACCTCCTTCCCTATAGAAGACTTATATCTTGATTTTTCTATATGTTTGCCTATTTTTTTTCTTTCTTACTATTAAAATGCTTTCCCCTGTTTAGTTAAAAGGGCTGATTTAGGCTTATCTTTTTTTTTCTATTTCTCCTCCTTTTCAGCGTATATCCATAGTTTGTCGAGTGTATTTGCTGCCTGCTTATTTAACCTGAAGCTAAGTGTTTATATTAATTTTGTTTGTCATATTTCCTTCCCCATTTTCTTTATCTAAAACGAGCTAAGTCTTGAAGGGATAGGAATCATGTGTTGTTTACAATGATCCGTTTTCTTCTTAAGTTATTAACTTTTCATTTTATGCATATATATTTGTCATATTATAGTAAGTTTGTTAGTCCCTTTTAAAAAAATGCATATCCATATTTCTTCCGTTGTGTTGCTTTTATTTCTTATTTGTGATAAAACTCATTGTTTGTTTATCCAACACCCTAATACATTAATTGAATATGATTTCTTTTGCTGTCTTGGTTTATTGGTCGGAGGGTGTCAGAATTATATTTTCTAGATGTATTCTTTTCTCAAGGTAACTCAATTTGAGCTCATTAATTTATTTCTTCTTTTCTTGTCGTATGTGAAATTCATTCGAGTTCATTTGGACTTCGCTCCCTGCTCTATTTGTTGGTAACAGAGCTTATACGTGACAAATTATTTGAGTTTCATATTTTGTTTGAGTCAAAAATCACTTAAAAATGCAATGATGTCCTATCTTTTAGTGCTATCGGTGCGTGGGTTTAAACCCTTTGGTAAGTTTACATCATTTCTTAGTGTGCTCCTATTAGAACATGGTAGATATAGCCTTTAGAATATGGTAGTGTGAATTCTGTTTTATTTGGGTGTTTTCTTACATTAACTACAACTCTTACTTACTGTTTCTTTTGTGTTTTGCATGTGAAATATGACCGGGTCCTCATGGACCATTATCTATGCATTTTCCTAATGGAACACAAAGGCTCAAATCTCCATATCAGTTAGTCTATCAAAATGAAAAATAAGTTACGGAAAAGGTGAACAGGTCTAGATTTGAAAAATACGCGCAAATGAAGAAGTCGAAGATTTGAAGAAGTTATTCAAAAATATTGTATTTTGTTATTTTTGGGCCTAAGCCCTTTTGTATTATTATTATCTTGTTAGTTTAGGACATGTAAAAATCGAATGGGCCTAAGACCCAAAAGAAATGGGTCCAAAAACCGGTTCAGGAGGACAGAAATCGGATTTGGACCTCTCTCTCTCTCTCTCTCTCCCTCCCTCCCTCCCTCCCTCCCTCTCTCTCTCTCTCTCTCTCTCTCTCTATACTTTGCTGCTTTTGCTTACTTCTTGTTAAATTTATGTGGTTTAGGGTTCAAAGGCTCAAATCCCCTCAAGGCGCTATTTCTTTTTAATAATTCAAATCAATCGATTTTTAAACGGACTTAAAATATGATAAATTTTACAAATTAAATAACTCACTTAGATAATATGTTAGTATTTAACTTTTGGTAATTCTAAATAAATTTTCAACTCAAACTAAGTTCAAGTTAGATCATTTTAGCCAAATAAGTTAGTTCTTGGATAATTGTGAGTTAACAATTGTTTTAGGTGCCGAAATAACCTTCCTAAAATATAAATGTGAATTTAATAGTTTGTATATATTACACGGGCATAACTATGTATATTTGATTACTATGAGGCCGAACATCGCCTATGAAGGCTATCAAAGTTTCAATTTTAGCTGGTGTATCTATTACCTTATTTATGATTCTACTTTCTACATTACCTATCAATACATTGTGATTCGTAGTGACGTCTCATTGCTTGAAGATGTATTTTTTGTTTTTTGCAGGTAGGTCCAGATAGGGATTCTAATCGATCCCTCAACTAGGATTTGAGGTTCAACTATATTAACTAGTATTTCATTATTTTGGCTCGTGTACCTTTGCTTTTGTGACTTCTGTTATTCCGGTCATGATCTTAGTGGTCTGGGCTTAGTATTTCAGATGTATTGCTCGACCTTCTCAATCCACAATTTTGTCGAATAGTATATTTCAATGGCTAACTCGTTTGAATGAGATATGAAGAGTTAATACCTCAGATGGTCACTTGACTATGGACTCTTCTCTTAGAAAGTCACTCAACTTTCAATTTTCACTCAAAAGTCATTCAACTATGCACTTCTTTATCAGAAAGTCACTCAACTTTGAATTTTAACTCAAAAGTCACTCAACTATCCACTCTTTCCTCAAAAGAACCCTCAATTTATTAAATTATTTTTTTAACTAAAATTTATTGATATTAATTATTATATAACAAATCAAAAAAATTTAAAAATAAAAATACCATTTAAACCATTTAGTGTTCCACCCACGTAACCCGACCCATTAAAAAACATGATATGACCCATTTTATTTTGTCTTTAATCCTAATTCAAGGTTTAAAGAGAGGGACTAATTAGGATTAAAGATAAAATAAAATGGGTCATATCATATTTTTTAATGGGTCAGGTTAGGTGGATGAATCACTAAATGATTTAATTTATTTTTAAAAATTTTTGGTTTGTTATATAAATAATTAATATAAATAAATTTTAATTAAAAAATTATTTAATAGATTGAGTGACTTTCTGAGGAAAGAGTGAATAGTTGAGTGACTTTTGAGTTAAAATTCAAATAGTTGAGTGACTTTTGAGTGAAAACTGAAAGTTGAGTGGCTTTCTGAAAGAAGAGTGCATAATTGAGTGACAATCTGAGGTATTAACTCGAGATATCAAGTGTCAATCACACCTATTTAGTTTTGAGGCGTACAATCATCACTACATTTTCTCACTGCTACATGCCATCATCAACTATTTTCAGCTACCAATACCATCACCTACTGGGATTATTAATTATCACGATCCAAAACTTTTTTTTCAATCATCAATCACCACAACTGATGGTTGTTACTACTAGCCATCATTACCATAATAGCAAGATTGTAGTCCATAAAATGTTTAATAGTCTATTAAGATGAATTGGATAGAAATTTTATTGTTTCACATGAATAAATAATCCGAGTAGGAAAGAAAAAGTAGAAGCATCTAATCTACATTATCCTCAATATCCAAGAGATCTTCATCGTATAACAAGCACAAGTGTCGTATTCAATGCAAATTGATGCTTCGTTTGTCGACTAAACACAAAAGTATGATATTCCCATCATCATTAGACATTGTATATCAAAAGAATTTTCAGTCTGAACACCAGAAATATCCAGCAAAGCTCATGACATTACCCTATAAGTTTATAGCTTTATGCAAATAATCTTCTTGGATTCAAACTTAAAACACCATACAAACTGTTTTTTTCGAATTACCTGCATGCACACATCCTCAAACTATAGCAACAAGTTATGAAGTTTGAACTTTTAACTTCTAGTGCTAGATCCTGAAGATCAGGGAAAAAAAATTTGGAACAGATACTTCTGCGAAAAGTGGCTATTTATTTTTTACATTTCAAACAAGGGCTAAATAAACAGTCCAAAATAGCCATGCCACCTAAAATTTCTTTTTTCCAAAATTGTAAGCGGTATGCATATATGACATGTAATATAACGTAAATCGAGGGTTCCAAAACAATTTGCCACAAAGAAACACATCCTTCTTGCCTACCTACATGCAGGTAGTAATTCAAACCTCATAAAGGGCCTAATAAACAATTGACTAAACAAAATCGGTCTGGGAACATACATGACACAAGCCAAAAAGAACAAGTAAATTTTACTTCGGCAGAACTTCGGTTGTCTAGTGGTTTAGCAATTACTTCCGATGCCGCCTCTTGGGCTCAGCTCTTTGCCTCTTGTCGTCATCCCACTCTCTGTCATACATACTGCAGTGCATAGTTAAGGCATCAAATATAAGCACACTTCAATGGCAAGTCATGACAGTGCCTTTACACCAACACTTCCCAAGTTGAGTTCACAAAAGTTAAATTTCAGTTGATAAGATATGCAGCTCTAAAACAAGATTATTTACACCAAAATAATTGTGCTTTTCATGTATATATCAATTTATGGAATCATAAATGACATTTGGACATTGATACCAAATTGACTTCAAACAAACTCACTAACCCCTGAAAGTTAAATATGGGCAACAAATTTTGAGTACACTAAATGAAATAGTAAAAATGCACCGAAATTTATCTAATTATAATTGTATTTTTTTCAATAGTAGCACAGTATGCAATAGTAGAGGATTTGAATAAACCACCTATAGAAAAACCATGCCTATCGAATGACAACCACTAAAAAGGCCATATAGATTGGTAGCATTGTATAATTCTAGCCAGACTAGTATTTTGGATGACAAGGCATTGCTGATAAAAGAAACAAAATCTTCCATTCAAACAAAACAGTTGCATATGTTGGTTTATGCAGCAGATGGTCAAAAGAGAACTCTTAAGGAATTGTATGCACATTTATCAATAAGGATACGAGTCCGCATCACGACGGGGTGCTTTGCTGGCACTTTCTTTTCCATGAATCCTAAGACCTGGCTCGTCCAAGTAACCTGGACGCTGCTGAACAATAACACCCTTCCGCTCTCCCCTATCTCTTCCATCACTGGGCTGCGTCATATTAATAGAAAGAGGAGGATGAGCAGCGGGTGAATATTCTCCAGGTTCTGAAGCCATATGCTCTCTCTTAAGTTTACGCCTCTTTGAGGCATTTGGATCCATATCCTCTTTCACGAGGATAGCTTTCTCTCTCTCTCTTTCCCTCTCCTCTACCTACAACACAAATGAAATGTAATTAACCACAAACATGCAACAAGGCAGCAAGAGATCTCAAGGGTTTTACTTGAAAGAATCTGACCTCTGAAACAAGTAGGTAAACAACAAGACATAATTAAACAACAAATAAGTCTCAATCCTAAACAAGTTAGGGTCAACTATATGAAGCCACACTTACACTGTCACTCCAAACTCGTAGCAAATATTACACAAAAGAAAACAAATTTAATATGTAATAAAGTTAAAAATGATTTTAAAAAATCCAAGAAAAAATACACACCTCTGACCAATATGAAGACAGGAAGTTATTTTAAGCAAGGAAGGATAGCATTAGAAATTATTTGAGTATTACTATTAAGCCGAACCAACTAAGATTCTACCATCCTCATCACCCCAACTGGAAAGAGGATGCAAAAGGTGTAAGGAAAGAATATCCCAGCTGCTACATCTCAATAAGTTAACATGTCAGTGGATAGCGAAGTATAAGAAGACAAGAACTCAAAAATATTGCAGGTCAAATGATTAACAAGAAAGTGACACCGGTAAATGCTTTCTGCAAGTAAAATGGATAGTCATGACGACACGATATGGAAGCATATTGATGCATAAAATTTAGACAAACAAACAAACGGTAAATCTAGTCCTCATAAGTGTTCAATGTCTTCCAAAATGTTAAGAGACTCTTAACCTAAAACTATTCCACTAGTACTAAATATTGAGGCAAGCTCATTAAGCGCAACCCTAAATTTATCAAGGCAGAGTCCCAATGATTAAAAAAAAAGTTAAAGATGGATATATAGCCAAATAACCATTACATTGTCATGGGCCTAAAAGTACGTGATCCTGCTACTTCTAACTTTAGTTCACTCTGGGCATTGGTCAATGGTCAACCTTGGCCAAACCTTCCCAGTCTTCACTTTTAAACATCATCATGAACACATTATACTTCTTTGAACAGCTTACCCAATACCACTTGAAGTTCCTCCAGCTGCTTAAGAAATAAATGGATCTCCTTGATTTGCCTCCTAAACCCTAGTACGAACTTTTTACTAGTTGTGATGCTTCCTCCTCTTAAATAGGGTAACTGGAGCCTACTTTGTTGTTTCTCAGACCTCAGGGGCGAAAAATATAACCCAAAACAGGGAAACTACTCCCTCCATACTTTAAAGAATCTAGTTTCATGTTGTTAAGGTCAAAATATGAACAATGGGCATATTATCACATTAGAAATTATAAAAACCTAGAGAAAATACTAGTTAACTTGGCAACCGAAGAAAAACAACTGAGCATTTGTCCATCTTGAAACACAGGAACAATAATTGGGATCTAGATACATTCTTACACAATTAAAACTCCAGCTACAGTTGTAGAATGAGATCGGAAGAGGTATAGGATGCAACAGAAAATATGAGTACAGATGGAACCGCCATAGAGGTATGAAGAGGTTGGAGTAGGATGACATACCAACCTATCCAATACAACACT